GAAAATACTTAGTAATTTAGGTGTTCTAAGTGTATGTAAAGTTTTGTGATAATCCAAAAGTGCAATTGAGAGATATCTGGGTTTTGGTACAAAAACATATTAGAAGTTGGCAGTTTGGGGTTGGATAAAATTTCTATGGTACCTAGAGATCTAATAGTCAAATAAAGGTGAAATTTTGCATGGTATTGAAGGACTTAAAGATTAAGTTTCTTATCAATTTTGAGTCAAAGTTAATTGTTGGTGAAGGAGAAAACACTACTAGAACTTATGCTTCACCTTTCAAGTTGGTGGTTGAGTGACATTAGTGTAATTTTTGGAGGTTTTTCCACAATTTGTAAGTGGATTGGGCTAAATTTTTTTGAGCGTATAGAAGACTTATATTGAAAATAGAATACAAAATTTCACATTAAGTGGACAATCAAATTAGAAGTTACAACTTGTCAAAACTTATTGATTAGAGTTGGGGCATATAAGAAAAATCTAAATTACTTAAATATGAAAGTAACAAGATAATTGAAATTTATGTGTGATTGAGGCTACTAAAAAGATTTTTTTTAGCACTTTTGAATTAGAATTTATATTATATTCTTCTCATATGGATGAAACCTATTAGAATTTCTTGGATGTTTGTGAAGCACAGCTTCGCCTTCCATAGCTAGGTACCTAGTGCATTTTCAAACAAGACAATACATAATATGACATCGCCTCTTTCAACCTCTTCCAATCAATAGAAAAACCACCTTCTATTGTTCCATCTTAAAAAAAAAAAAAAACAATCTATCCTCTAGTATCTTATCTGTAACTTGCAAGAATAGCTCTAATTTCCTCACCTCTAAAAGGTGCTTCTTAGATAATGGGAGTTTTCCAAATTTCTTTTCAAACTCCCTCGACAATTTGTTTGATCCCATATGTTTACCTGGTTGTTGCTCCATCCAATTAAAAAAACTTCTTTTAATCATCTTTTCATTGTTCTCATCAAAGTATTTATCTTTCAATCTCTCCTCAAATTTAGCCCATATTTTTACATCAATATTTCCATATAATTGTTTCACCCCTTCTCTGATCTCTAAGTTAATTACTAAATTAAAGGTCTCAATTATCTTATCTTTTGGAATTTGATAGATATCTATTCCATAAGTATAGATCCTCAAAAATTTAATAATATTTTTTCCATCAAACCTCCTTACTTTGCTAATAACATTCCTCAATGCTTTGGTAGCCCTTAGCCAAGTTGCATTAGTACCTTGTTGGTCCATAAACATTTGCATGGCCCTTAAAAATTCATCAATAAGATTCTGACTACCTCCATTGTTTAAGCCTCCTTACTTTGTATATCCTATCTTCAGTAGTCAAAAAATTTAGAACCTTAAGGCTCTCTCAATAGAAGAAATAATATATCATGGTAGAGAAAATTTTCCTTAAGAAAGTACTAAACTTCAATTTGTCATTAAATACTCAATCAAGCCTCTAGATAAAGAAATTATTAAGTCTACATATAAGATTGTCCCTATAGGGGCAATTACATCAATAAATAAGCCTTAAGTACCAAAGATTACTAAAAATGTGATAAACATATTATTAAAAAACTTATATATCCTTAAGATAAATTTTTTTCAAACTTCAATAGCTCATATCTCACAATCGGATCGTCCAAACAAACCCATATTTTACATGAAGTATAGATGCACTTTTAACAACTATCACAACAAATTTGAATTATAAATTCATTACGGATCTTGAAATATTGCCAAAATCTTAATAGTAGCTTCAAACCTTTGCTTACATACACATATGTGCAAATTTCTTCATATCTCACAAATTAAGTATTTAAATACTATAAAAATTTGATATAGAGCTTTTTAACCTAATAAAACATACTTCTAGAAATTTTGAGCCAAACATTCATCTGAAAACTCAAGATATGGCTCCAACCATTACTATCATCAAAACAATTCACATATTGCCTTTCAATTACATGTGCTATCTTCAATGCTCCATAACTTCTTCATGAAAAATCCAATTGTAGAAATTCTTTTATAATAAATGTAGATCTTGGAATTATCCTTGTGGTTGCATCTTTAGATTACCAAAATCTGTCATTAAACTCCTCGTATCCTCAAAATAGCAATATTATGTCTTAAAAAGTCACCTTAACTTCAAATGGCTATAACTTCATTACTTTAACTTCAAATCCTCTAAAATTTGCACACAAATTTTAGTCCAAATCTTAAATCTTAGAACCCTTGCTTTTGATTTTTGAATAATCTTCTTGAGGTTGCCGAAACCTTTATTATTGTTGCACACAACTTGTTGATTGTCTATTGGGAACGACCTTTGACTAATAGGAATAAAGACCTTTATTTTTAGCCTTCATCCTTCTAATTAAGCTTCTTAGAGGTTTGAATCTTCATCTTTGAGTCCTAATCTTCTCCTTAAATTTTATATTAGTTATTTAAATCCTATATATTTTAAACACTATAATCAATATAGGTAAACCTCAAAATAAATTTTCTTATATCAATTCTTTTTAAATTAACCTACTAACCACTCTAAAATACATCAATACTTATAAATATATTATCTATTTTAGTTAATATTTACATACTATAAACAATTAAAATATAACTATGCCACATCATGTGACTCTTCGTAATTCACTTATAAAATAATTTATTTAAAGAAAAAATATTTTCAATTTTTTTCAAAAAATACATCATCTAAGAAGATATTTTTTAAAGTTTACTTTCAAAGTAGTCTTTGACTAAATTTTTTAGTTATTATTTTTAAATATATAGTTCTATTAAAATATTCAGGTTAATATACATAAGATTTCTATTACTTTGTAATGTTTCAACATGTTTGACCACCCAAGAAGATTCTTTTTTTTTATTGTAGCAATCTTGTCTATAAGCAATTTAAATTTCTATAATTTGATTTAAGCTTTAAAACTATTTATAAATATTTGAAAGCTATATAATCTTACATGGTTACAATTGATATTTTTTATTAAAAAAATTCAAACTATTTAATTTTATAAATATATATTATTTATATTTTTTAATATCAATTTTTTTAAAAGATATAAAACCAAATATTTTATGAAATTTTTTATCAAATTAAATAATATTTTATATTTAAGTTTTTATCACATATAAAATATTTGGTTATTAAAATTTAATATTAAAAATTATAAATATTAGTCAAAGAAGACTTGATAAAAATCTTTTTAATTTTTTTAAAATAATATTATAAATATATTATTGTGTATATAAGTTTTGATTTAATTTTTTTTATAAATTATTTTTAATCATAAATTTTTATATATTTATTATTTGTAATTAAAAAAATTGATAGTTTTCATTATGCATGATTATCTCAAATATTAATTTTAGAATGCAATAGAAGTCTGACTTAATTAAATAAATAAAAATAAACAAAAGTAACCTATGATTTTATTTTTTATTAAAAATAGCCATTATAATTTTTTTATCTTATTTTTATTTCTTTTTTTCTTAATTCTTCTGTTTTAGTAAAATATAAGTGTATAATATTATATATATATATATATATATATATATATATATATATATATATATATATATATATATTTAAAATTGTGATTTTTAATTTTTGAAATTTTTATAAAATAATTTAATCACACTAATATAAACCTTTGTAATAAGACTATTTTAATCAACCAGATACATATTTTTTCTTATTATAAATCCATTAAATAATAGAAGACCAAATTATTTATATTTTAAATTCTCCTTCGACTAATAATTTAATTTTGTATTGTATTATTGATTTTATTTATTTATAATTACAATAAAAACATCAATTGATTAAGTTTTTTGACTGCTATATGTATATATTTAGTCTTTTATAACTTATATTTTTTTAATATTTAGTAATATATTGTTTTTTCTTTATTTTTAGATTAACTTTTTATTATTTTTTATTATTTTTCAATGAAAAATTATATTATGTTGCTCTTATTTTTTAATGCATGGTTTATTTGAGGTATTTTTATATTATTAGAACTTTAATTTCATATAATAAATTAATATTCTATATTTTGTAATTACTTCATAGTCAATTTTATAAGTATATAAAGCTTAATATAGTTTCTTATTTTATTTTGTCTACTTTAGATTTATAACCTTTTTTTTAAAAAAATCAATACTTTACATATAAAATTTATAAATTTATTTATTTTTAAATAATAAATAATAAAATTTTAATGCTAAATTATAAATTTTATTGTAAGAATTTGAAATGTATTCTTTGTTACACAAATCCTGATTACTCACAAGTTCTAAAATATATCTATATCTAGTTATGATTTTTTATAGAATAATTATACTCTTGATTTTATTATTTTATCTTAAAGTCTTCTATTTTTTATTTATTTAAAATCTTCACTTGATATAATAGAAGTTAAAAAACGGCTATTTGAAGGAGTCTTATATATATCTCATATTGATACCTTTTTTAAGAGGTTTGTTATACATATTCTTTAAAAAACATCCAAAATAAGTTTTTATGAGTATTTTTTTTATATTATTTGAGAAATAGGTTCTATTACACATAGAAGTTTTCTTTTAATTATATATATGATTATTGGATATAGACTTGTTTGGAATATGAATATTTTTTTTCATTAATATATATATATATATATATAAGATTGGAAAAAAGCCAAAGATTTATATTTAAATACAAATTCTTGAATTAAAATTGTAAAATACAAAAATTATTAACAATATTGAGGATAATTATAGTCTTCTTTTATATATACTAGCTATCAAAATGGACATGTAGAACCTTTTGAAAA